ATTGGTGTCCCAATTTTCCCACATCCTCTATAACATTTATTATTTTCCATTTTCATCATATTAGCCAATCTGATTCATGTGAGGTGCTACCTCAGAGTTGTTTCAATTTGCATGTCTCTAATCAAAACTGATTTAGAGAACTGCTTCATATGCTTATAGATAGCTTTGATTTCTTCAACTGAAAACTGCCTGTTCATATCCTTTGACCATTTGTCAGTTGGGGGCATGGTTTGTATTCTTATAAATTTGACTCAGTTCTCTATATATTTGAGAAATGAGGCCTTTATCAGAAATACCTGCTGAAAAGATTGCTTCCCAGCTTTCTGCTTTCCTTCTAATCTTGGTTGCATTGGTTTTATTTGTGCAAAAGCTTTTTAATCTAATGTAATCAATTTCATAATGCTGTCTATCTCTTGCTCGATCATGAATTCTTCCCTTCTCCATAGATCTGGCAGGTAAACTATTCCTTGCTCTTCTAATTTGCTTGTGGTGTCATCCTTTATATCTAAATCACACACCCATTTTGACCTTATCTTTGTATACAGTGTGAGATATTGATCTATACCTAGTTTGTGTCATACTGCTTTCCAGTTTTCTCAGTAGTTTGTGCTAAATAATGAGTTCTTATCCCAAGGCTGGGGTCTTTGGGTTTATCAAACACTAGGTTATTATGGTCATTTACTACTTTTGTCTTAAGTACCTAATCTATTCCACTGATCCACCATTCAATTTCTTACCCAGTACCAGATAGTTTAGATGATTACTACTTTTTAATATATAGTTTGAGACCTGGTATTGCTAGGCCACCTTCCATTGTATTTTTTTTTCATCAATTCCCTTGATATTCTTGATCTTTTGCTCTTCCAGATGAATTTTGTTGGTGGTGGTTTTTTTTCCCTAGCTCTATCAAATAATTTTTGGTAGTTTGATTGGCATGGCACTGAATAAGTAAATTAGTTTAGCAGAATTATCATTTTTATTATATTGGCTAGGCCTACCCATGAGCAATTCATATGTTTCCAATTGTTTAGATCTGATTTTATTTGTGTGAAAAATGTTTTGTAATGTGTTCATGTAGTTCCTGCATTTATCTTGGCAGTTAGACTGCCAAGTAGTTTATATTGTTTAGACTTATTTTAAATGGAATTTATCTTTCTATCTCTTGCTGCTGGGCTTTGTTGGTCATATAAAGAAATACTGATGATTTATGTGAGTTTATCTCATATCCTGCAACCTTGCTAAAATTGCTAATTATTTCAAGTGACTTTTCAGTTGATTCTCTAGGATTATCTAAGTATACCATGATACTATCTCCAAAAAGTGATAGGTTTGTTTCTTCATTGCCTATTCTAATTCCTCTGATTTCTTTTTCATCTCTTAATTGCTATAGCTAATATTTCTATTAGAATATTGAATAATAGTGGTGAAAACGGTCATTCTTGCTTCACCCCTGAGCTTGTTGGGAAGTCTTCTAGCTTTTCCTCATTACAGATAATGCTTGCTGATGATTAAGATAGACATTACTTATCATTTAAAGGAATGATCCTTTTATTTCTATGCTCTCTAGTGTTTTTAATAGGAATGGGTGCTATATTTTGTCAAAAGCTTTTTCAGCATCTATTGAGATAATCATACGATTTCTGTTGGTTTTGTTATTGATATGGTCAATTTTGTTGATAGTTTTCCTAATATTGAACCAACCCTGTATTCCTGGTATAAATTCCACTTGATTATGGTGCATAATCCTTGTAACATATTGCTGTAATTGCCTTGCTATTATTTTGTTCAAAATTTTTGCATCAATATTCATTAGGGAAATTGGTCTATAATTTTCTTTTTCTGTTTTAGTTATTCCTGATTTAGGTATCAGCACTATATATATATATATATATATATATATATATATATATATATACATACACATATATACATACATACATATATACATATATACATATATACATATATACGTACATATATACATATATACATATATACATATATATATATATACATATATATATATATATCATAAAAGGAGTTTGGTAGGACTCCTTTGCCTATTTTTCTAAATAGTTTATACAATATTGGAATTAATTGTTCTTTAAATGTTTGGTAGAATTCACTTGTGAACCCATCTGGCCTTAGAGATTTTTTCTTATGGAGTTCATTAATGGCTCATTCAATTTCTTTTCTAAAATGGGATTATTTAGCCATTGTATTTCCTGATCTGTTAATCTGGGTAATTTATATTTTTGTAAATATTCATCAATTTCATTCAGATTGTCAGGTTTATTGGCATGTATTTGAGTAGAATGTTTCCTAATGATTGCCTTAATTTCTTCATTGGTGGTGTTTTTTTTTATTGGTGGTGGTACTTTTACCCTTTTCATTTTTGATACTGGATATTTGGTTTTCTTCTTTCTTCTTTTTTTAGTCAAATTAGCCAATGACTTATCTATCTATTGTTTTTTTTTCATAAAACTAGCTCCTAGATTTATTTATTATCTCAATAGTTTTTTGTTTGTTGGGTTTTTTTTACTTTCAATCTTATCTCACCTTTGATTTTCAGGATTTCCAATTTAGCGCTCAATTCAGCATTTTTAATTTGTTCTTTTTCTAGTTTTTTTAATTGCATGCCCAATTCATTAATTTGTCTTTTTCTATTTTTGTTGTTGATGTTGTTGTAAGAATTCAGAGAAATAAAATTTCCCCTAAGTATTGCTTTGGCTGAATCCCATAAATTTGGGGATATTGTCTTATTGTTGTCATTCTCTTCAATGAAATTATTGTTTCTATGAATTGTTTATATTCTTTCTAATCCATTCTCATATCCTTTTTTTCCTGTTTTATGGTCAAATTCATCCAATTCACCTTCACGATTATGATAGTTCATTGCATATTTTTCTCCATCCTATTATCTCTTCCCTCTCTTTGCCCATACCTACCTCCCAGAGTTGTTATGAAGATCAAATGAGATAATAATTGTAAAGCACTTAGCACATAGGAAGCACTAAATAAATGTTAGCTATTATTACTAAAAAATAAGGCATGACTACAAAATTCTAGGCTTTCCATTTCTTTTTTCTTAAGTTGAATGGAATACAACAAACATTTGCTGTTGGGTGCTCTAATTAATCATTTCAAATGAAGCCTAAATATAAGAAGAAACTCTGCTAACTTACTGCCACATCCTGCTTCCTCAGTACAAGGAAGAACAACTGAGCCAGCACAAACATAATGCAGGAAGAAGGAAATCATGATAGTGAGCTGAAAAAATAAACATGAGCCATATTGGTTTTCATGATCATGTATCTTTTTCAAAAGATTATGCCACTGCTGTCATTCCAATTGCTCACAAAGCTTATATTTTTCTTTATGCATGCTCTTCCTTCTTTGAATTTTATGACCAGGTAGTTATTGGAAAGGGTGGAAAGATTGCTGTGCTACTTACTGATAAGAAATTCAGGCATGATAAGTTTCTTTGACGTATCCAAGGTAGATAAGGAACTGATTCAAATGTCTAAAAACATGAATAAGGAATGATTAAAGGGTAGAAATAGTTAATTCTTAAAAGAATTATTCCAAGCTATCAGCAGCTCTGCGAATTTTTCCCCCAAATCAACAATAATTAGAGAAATATAAAAGAATTCATCTCTAAGGTTCCATGTTGCACCTATCAGATTGGCAAAAAAAAATTTAAATGAATAAATAGAATAAAAGGACTATTGTTGGAAGGACACATTGGTGAATTGTCATTGGTGGAACTGGGAAGTTGTCCATCCATTATGGAAAGCAATTCAGAATTAGGCAAAGAAGTGGAAACTAAGTGGAATGACTAAATTATGGTATATAAATGAAATGGAATACTACTATGCCATTATAATGATGAGAGGGATAGTTTCAGAGAAACCTGGTAAGATTTATGTGAACTGATAGAGAATAAAGTGAACAGAACAGGAACAGCAATTTGTACCCCTCTTTATAACACACTGGACACTGAGGTCCTTTCTCAAGGTAACCTGCCAAGCATTCAAACTCTATTGCAGAGAGCACAACTTTAATGGGCCAGCCACATTATTCAAATGCCCAAAGTACATTTGCCTACAAGACAATTTTATGGAGAACGCATGAAGGTGCTCACATGGTGGCAAGAAGAAATGACATAAGGACACTCAAGGTCTCACTGAAGAACTTTGGAATTGATTGAGAGGCATAGGAAATGTCTGAACCCAAACCTCACAGAACAAATCCCCTTAATGAAAGGATTTGTTCTGTAAAACTTGGACTCAGACAAAGGGCTGCACTTGAGGACCTAGAGGGCCACATGTGACCTCCAGGCCACAGGTTCCCCATCCCTGACCTAGCCCCTCCTACCTTCCCAGGTTTCTTATACCCTACTCCATCCACATCCTCTTTAATTAGGCAACCAGGTGGCATAGAGGATAGAGCACTGGACCTGGAGTCTGGAAGACCTGAGTTCAAATCTAGCCTCAGATACTTACTAGCCATGTGGCTTTGGCAAATCACTTAATCTCTGTCTGCCTTAGTTTCCTCAATTGTAAAATAGAAATAATAATAGTACCTCCCTTCTAGGGTTGTTATGAGGATAAAGTGAGAAAACATTTGTAAAGCATATAGTAGGCATCATCATCATCCAGTGTCAGTGGTCCATTTGCCATTCCACAAGAAGACCCTCCATGTCTCAGCTCCATGTATTTTCTCTGGCTGTACTCCACACTTAGAATGCTCTCCCTCCTCATCTCTACCTGCTGGCTTCCCTCATTCCTTTAAGTCCTAACTAGAAATCTCCATTTCTACAGGAGCCTTTCCCAATCCCTCTTAATCATAATGCCTTCCCTCTGTTGATTATTTCCTATTTATCCTGTATATGTAGCTTGTTTGCACTATTTGTCTGCTTATTATCTCCCCCATTAGACTGTGAGCTCCTGAAGGACAGGGACTATCTTTTGTCTCTTTTTGTATCCCAGGGGCTTAGCACAGTGCCTGGAACATAGCGGGAACCTAATAAATGTTTACTGACTGACTCAATGACTAACTACAGGGGTTTGGGAAAGACCTCTTGCAGAATGTGAGACTTTATCCAAGACTGGAAGGAAGCTAAGGAAGCTAGAAGGTGGAGAAAACAAGGGAGAGAGTTTCAGGAATTAAGGTAAGCATATAAAAATGTTCAAAGTCAGGAAATAGAGTGTCTACTAGGAGATAAAGAGGCCAGTGTCACTGGATCAAAGTTTAAGAAGACTAGAAAGAAAGGAAGGGACCAGGTTATGCAGCAGTCTAAAAGCCAAACAAAGGATTCTATATTTGATAAAAATATAAAAGAATGTGAGAAAGGGAGTAATTTATATTTTTAAAAGACTGGAAAGGAAGGAAAGGCCCGGAAATGTGAAAAAATATAAAAGTCAAACAGAAGAGTTTACATTTTATTCTAGATATTCTATATGTTTTATACATCTATTAGGTAGCAGGGAACCACTGGAGTTGTTTTTGTTTGTTTTGTTTCTTTAATAGGGCAACATCTTCTAGGGAAATCCACTTTCCCAGCTCCTTGGAAAATGAATTGGCCTGGGGAGAGGCTTGAAGCAGAGGACATTGTTTCAATAATCAAGGTGAGTGGTGATGAGGATCTGAACCAGGGTGGTGACCATATGAATGGAAGGCAGAGGAGTATTTGAGCAATAAGGAATAAGAAACAAGAAAATTTGGCAACTTGGAAGTAGGGGAAGCTTCTGTTGCTTCTGTCCCCAACCCTGCTCCCTTCCCTGAGCCTACTCTAACACCCAGAGCTCTTGCATTGAGTGGTTTATAAGAACACTAAAATGAGAATCTCAAATCGGCATTTTTGATCTGGAAAGGCCCTTAGAGATCATTGACTTCAGCTCCCTCATTTTCCAAATGAGGAGATTAAAGCACAGACTGGCGCACCGATGGCCCAAGCTCACACACAGCATTAGTAGCATTCAGATCCTGACCTGAATTGATAGAAGGAATTTCTTTACCTGTAAATTCTTCTTATGAATGAAGTGATCAGATTGTGTAAGAACAAAGTGCCACAAAACAAATATTCTTTGTTCAGAGTTGCCTCAAACAACATCATTATTCAATAACCTTAATGTAATTAAATTCCACCATTGCTGAGAAACTGCCTCCATGGCACACAGCCAATCCATTCATTTATGACATTCTTCCCAGACTGCTAATTACTCCTAGAATATTGTTTTATCTTCTGTATTCTTCATAGATGAATGATGTTAGATGTGATACCTCATAGTCTGCATCAATGTATGATACCAAGTGCAGTTGAATCATGAAAAAAAACCCTACTCAGATAATAAAATGTAATAGAAATTACCAAAAGGAAACATGAGTTACTTAGAATCAAATTGTTTCCTAAAGAATACTAAAAACAAGTCGTTATTTTTATTAACAAGTAAAAATTCTTTTGCTTTTGGTGCCCCCCTTAAAATAGGATTAACCAGTGACCTTGTGCCCAATGACCCCAAGGGAGTGCCCCATCTAATGTGTTTTTCATACCAGCAATTCCCTGAGTGAAGGAAGGTAAATTACTCCATGCTCAGGTGTCAATAGCTGCTAATGACTTACTATTTCTAAATAACCTGTTTAAATTTTAACAAATGTCTTCTGGTTTAACCAAAAGAAAGTAATTCAGAATGGCAGGAACTTCCAGTTACCAGTGCAGATTAATAGACATATGATAGGCAGAATGGGCAGGTCTTTAAATGTACCTCACCATATGTCTTACTTCATTTCTATGTGGGACCAGCCCTGGGAAAAAGATGAGCAAATGGGCAGATTTTTGTTTAGTGGCCCAGAAGTTAACCTTATGCCATCAAAGTAGACATATTTAGAGTTGTAGAGTTCAAACATAGACTGTAAAGATGACTTAGGTCAACATTAGCTAATATTACGCTATAGATCAGCAGAATATCTAAATTTTCTACTGTAAACCATTTTGCTTAGTCGCCAGATATCAGAGGTTCAATAAAGAAGGACTTAGGATGGAAATAGGTGGAGGAAGAAGCAGGGGCAGGAGGATCAGGGGTAAGAAGTCAGCTTTCAAAGTTTCCAAAGTTTTTTTTTTAAACTAACGAAAGGTCATGTAACTTTTGTTTAATGATCCCTTTTTTTGTTGAGGCATTTCAGTTGTGTCAGACTCCCACGAGCCCATTTGGGGTTTTCTTGTCAAAGACATTGAAGTAGTTTGCCATTTCCTTCTCTAACTCATTTTATAGATGAAGAGCTGAAGCACACAAGGTTAAGTGACTTGCCCAGAGTCATACAACTAGCAAGTATCTGATGCTAGATTTGAACTCGGGTCCTCCTGACTCCAGGCATAGTGCCTTATCCACTGTGCTGCCTAGCTGCCCACTAATGATCTCTACCAAGGAAGAAATTACTATTTATCAAGGCTGCTCATTCTGCTTTTGTATAGCTCTAATTGTTAGGATGTTTTCCCCTTACCAACAAGCTTAAATTTACCTCTTTGCAACTTCTGCTCATTGCTCCTGCTTCTCCCCCTGAGGTCCAACAGTTGATAAAGCATTGAACTTGGAGTCAGAAAGATCTGAATTCAAATCCTGTCTCGAGCACTTCTATCTGTGTAGCTTTGCCATTTAACTTCTCAGCCTCAGTTTCTTCATTTGTAAAATGAGGTTAACAATAGCACATACCCCATAGGATTGTTGGGAGGATCAAATGATATAATACACAAAAATGTATATTTTTAATGATTTTGATTGCCGGAAAAATCATTTTCTAATTGTGCAATCATGTAGCCCAAATCTCTCCATCTTGTCAACAAGATGAGAGATTTTGTAAAAATGCTTTGCTTATATTTAGGTAAACTGTATCTAAAGCATTCCTATAATCTATGCATTTAGCAACTCATCCAAAAAAAGGACATGAAGTTAATCTAGCAAAACCCATTCTTCAGGTAAACTGTATCTAAAGCATTCCTATAATCTATGCATTTAGCAACTCATCCAAAAAAAGGACATGAAGTTAATCTAGCAAAACCCATTCTTCATGAAATTCTGCTGGCTCTTTTTAGTTGCCACTTTCTTTTCTACGTGTTCATGAGCCTTCCCTTTGATAATGTGTTTTGGAATTTTACCAGCTATCAAAATTAATGCAGTTTGCCTTGAGCTAAGGCAGAATTGATAGGAAAAAAATATTTTTAGATGATACATGAAATGATTCTTTTTAAAGTGAAGTTTCATAAGAGGTTCAACAATGCCATTCACTTATCTATTTGAGATAAGAGACAGAAACAGAGAGAGGCAGGAAGAGGAAGAGAGAGAGAGAGAGAGAGAGAGAGAGAGAGAGAGAGAGAGAGAGAGACAGAGACAGAGACAGAGACAGAGACAGAGATTCCTCCATTCATGATACTGGGGAGTTGTCAGGAATCATTCTGAGAGCTTGGGGTATTTCCAACTGTATCCATTTATAAGACATACCCAACTAAATTGCTTGGTAAATGGAGATAAGGCAATCAGCTCCCTTCTGCATGTTCCCCTCCTACCCCCTACACATACCTCAGACTTCACAATTCTCAAGAAGTGAATGGAATAATTCCACCTTTAAAGATTGCCACTGTGAGAGATAAACTTGCCAGCAGGTCCTAAAAACAGGGAAAACGGTCCAACTACCCATGAGTCTAATTTATCTGTGTTTCATTCACAAATAATAATAATACCAATCATATTGATCACATCTTATCTACAACAGGATATATTTAGCTCCCTTCCATCATATTTGCTTTCTTTAGTATTTTTCTTCTATTAAACTAACTTAGAGAAATTTCTGTTACACTCTTTAAAGGAGTGAGTCACTCTCAACAACCCTACATCTCTCCTCCATGAGAAAGCAGAGTGAGGGGCCTGAATATCTTCCCTCTCTTTATGTGAGTGATTTCACCTTTATATTAGTCTCCATTTTAGTATCAGGTAAACAGGTATATATTCTCCTGTGTGTTTAGGTTCCCTTTACCCCAGTTCTTTTGCAAGGCTGGTCACAGAAAAACTGGGCCTCTCCACCCTGGGGCAACTACCAGGTGCCGATAAAGCTTCTTACTGATTTGTATTCCAAACTTTGAACCTTGGATTCTTTTATAACGACTTCTCAAACTTGGATAATAAAGTGATTATCTTTTATTATGTATGCATTATATGTATTATTACACATATATTATTCATTATATCTGTAATTGCATGCAATTATACACATGATGTATAATTATATTGATTAAATTAGAGGTCCCAAGGTTCTTTCCAGTCTTGTGATTACGTGAACCTACTAGATTTTGTCTAGACTGACATGTAGATCCCACAGAATTTAGTTTGCCCTTCATCATGCTGGTAATCAGTTGTTGTGGCAATAGGATGTTTTGAGAATGATTGACTCAATGGTTTCTTTCTTCCAGCACTCTTTCACCTTTGAGATGACAAAATATCACCTTATTGACCACTGAGCAGGAAGAGCATGTGTATGACTTGTTGGACTTTTGAAGCAAGAGTGACTCCATGTACCTCGAACTCTTCCTTTGACTAGTGTATGACAAGTAGTGCTCTCTTTCACTATTATAATGATGATGATAATGATGATGATGATGATGGTGATGATGATGATGATGATGGAGAAGGAAGAGGAGGAGAAGGGAAAAGAAGAGGAGGAAAATGAACATGTATTACAGAGCTTTAAGGATTGCAAAGCGCCTTACAAATATTATCTCATTTTATCCTGACAACAACCCTTGGAGATAGGTGCTATTTTTGTGCCCATTTTAGAGGTGAGGCAGACAGCAGTTTGAATTCATGTAACTAGTAATCGTCTGCGGTTAGTATTGAATTCAGGCCTTCTTGACTCCAAAATCTTTATGCTGACCCCCAGCTATCCAGAGACTTCGCCTCATTGAAATAACCCATATGGATTACTCCTCTAAAGGCTGCTTACACTACCATCCTTCCTTGGCTCTTGCCCTCCATTAAAACCTGTTTATCCTATATCCCATCCTTCTCAGGTGCCTGATTTCAGCTTTCAGAAAGGCTAGCCAGCAACAACAAATCTGTGATAATATATAAATACCCCCAACTGCCCCTTGTCACTCAGGTAACAAATACATTTAAACAATGATGTCCTCTGACGATATTATTTAACCCATAGGATTGACTCTAGTGTGAAGGATTTGGACAAAATATCTTTGGATAAATGGAGCCTTGAAGTGCCCCTTAAATCCTGCTCTGGAGGGAGCCACATACTTTGCCCAACACTGGGCAGCTCAAAGATGATTTTTAAATGCCATCACACCCAACTTCAACTATAAATCTGGGTTCTTCAATTTAACAACCTCTGTTGCTTACAATATGCTTTCTCCTTGTGCATTTAGGCAACTCCTTGGTTGTGATTCTAAAAGAAGCACATCTGGATAGGGAATGTACTCTCCCTAGAAAGCCACTGGCCATTCACTCCTGACCAACACAGCTTTATGATGATGGCTTTTATTTTCTGCTTTCCTCTTATGCTTACTTTCTCCTTTCTCAGAAATAGTTCTCAAACCACTTGGTTTCCCTGGCTTCTTTCAACCCTTAACTCAAATCCCACCCACAGGCCTTTCTCTCTGCCCCTAGTTCCCAATGTCTCCGCCTCCCAGAGTTCCTCCTATATATGCTCTCCCTCCTCACCTCTAGCTCCTGGCTCCCTTGGCTTCCCTCAAATCCTGCCTAAAATCCCACCTTCTGCAGGAAGCCTTTCCCAACCCCTCTTAACTCTGGTACCTTCTCTCTGTTTATCTGTCCTGTATATAGCTTGGACTGAGAGATTTGCATGTTGTCACCCCTCATTAGATTGTAAGCTCTTGGAGGACAGATTCTGTCTTTTGTCTTTCTTTGCATCCCCAAGTCTTAGCATGGTGCCTGGCACAAAGTTGTTGTTCAGTTGTTTCATTCATGTCTGATTCTTCATCACTTCATCTGGGGTTTTCTTGGCAAAGATACTGGAGTGTTTTGATGTTTCCTTCTCCAGCTTATTTTACAGATGAGAAAACTGAGGCAAACACAAACAGGTTAAAGTGACTTGCCAAGAGTCACACAGCTAGTTAGTAGATGCAGCACATTGTAGGTATTTAATAAATGTTTATTGACTGAGTGTCTATATATCTTGAATAAACCTAGTTATTTATACATTGTCTGTCTCATTAGAACATGAGTCCCTTGAGGGCAGGAACCATCTTCCCTTTCTTTATTAGCACAGTGCCTGGCACAGAATAAGCACTGAATATATATTTTTGTTTCATAGCTTTCTCCTTCAGTGAGCTGGCAGGTAACTAAAAGTGCTGGTAGGCATGCCAATCGTGCTGCTACCCAAGGTGCCAGGATTCTGAGTTCCAAATTTTCTCTCTATCTCTCACCTCCTTCCACCCTAAGATGACGTACAATTTGATATAGGCTCTACATATACATTCATAATGCACCTATTTTCACATTAGTCACATAAAGAAGAATTAGAACCAATGAGAGAACCCACAAGAAAGAAGAAACAAACAAAAAGAAAGAGAAAGAAGAGAGAGAGCAAATAATATGCTTTGATCTGCATTCAGAGTCCATAGTCCTTTTTCTGGATGTTGATAACATTTTCCATTATGAGTCCTTAGGAGTTGTCTTGTATCCTTGCATTGCTAAGAAGAGATGAGTCTATCAAAGTGAGTCATCGCATATTGTGGCTGTTACTATATACAATGTTCTCTTGGTTCTGCTCACTTCACTCAGCATCAGTACATGCAAGCCTTTTCAGGTTTTTCTGAAGTCTGCCTGCTCATCATTTTTTATCACACAATAGTATTCCATTACATTCATACACCACAACTTGTTCAGCTATTCCCCAGTTGATGGGCATGCCCTCAATTTCCAATTCTTTGCCACCACAAAAAGAGCTGTGTAAATAATTTTATGGACATGGGTCATTTTTCCATTTGCATGATCTCTTTGGCATACAGACCTAGAAGTGGTATTGCTGGGTCAAAGGGTATGCACCATTTTATAGCCCTTTGGGCATAGTTCCAAATTGCTCTCTAAAATGGTTCTTTTCCTGTTTTCCCAAATACTCTATATAGTATTGGAATTAATTGTTCTTTAAATGTATGATAGAATTCATTGTAAATCCATCTGGCCCTGGAGATTATTTCCTAAAGAGTTCATTAATGGCTTGTTCAATTTCTTTTTTCTGAAATGGGGTTAATATTTTATTTCCTCTTCTGTTAATTTGGTAATTTATATTTTTGAAAATATTCATCCAATTCACTAAGATTCTCAAACTTATTGCCATACAATTGGGCAAAATAGTTCCTAATTATTGTTTTGATTTCTTCTTCGTTGGTGGTGAATTCACTCTTTTTATTTTTGATACTGGTAATTTGGTCTTCTTTCTTTTTTTCAATCAAATCAATCAAAGGTTTATTTATTTTATTGGTTTTTTCTCATAAAACCAGCTCTTAGTTTTATTTATTAGTTCAACAGTTTTCTTAATTTTAATTTTATTAATCTCTCCTTTGGTTTTAAGTATTTCTAATTTGGTGTTTAATTGGAGATTTTTAATTTGTTCTTTTTCTAGCTTTTTTAGTTGCATGCTTAATTCATTGATCTCTTCTTTCTCTATTTTATTCATATAAGCATTTAGAGATATAAAACTTACCCTAAGTTTTGGTGTGTCGTCTCATTATTGTGTCATTCTCTTGGATGAAGTTATTGATTGTTTCTATGATTTGTTATTTGACTCACTCATTCTTTAGGATTAGATTATTTGGTTTCCAATTAATTTTTAGTCTATTTTTCCATGGCCCTTTATTACATATAATTTTTATTTCATCATGATCTGAAAAGGATGCATTTAATATTTCTGCCTTTCTGCATTGGATTGTGAGGTCCTAGTATGTCATCAGTTTTTGTGTAGGTGCCATGTACCACCAAGAAAAAAGCATATTCCTTTCTATCCCCATTCAATTTTCTCCAGAGGTCTAGCATATCTAACCTTTCTAAAATTCTATTCACCTCTTTAACTTCTTTCTTGTTTATTTTGCAGTTAGATTTATCTAGTACAGAGAGGGGGGAGGTTGAGGTCTCCCACTAGTATAGTTTTTCTGTCTATTTCTTCCTGTAACTCCCTGAACTTCTCTTCTAAGAATTTGGATGCTATACTACTTGGTACATACATGTTTAGTAACAACATTACTTCATTGTCTATGGTGCCTTTTAGCAGGATGTAGTTTCCTTCCTTATCTCTTTTAATTAGATTTATTTTTGCTTTTGCTTTGTCTGAGATTGCTACCCCTGCTTTTCTTACTTCAGCTCAAGCATAATATATTCCACTCCAGCCTTTTACCTTTGCCCTCTGCATATCTCTCTGTTTCAGATGTGTTTCTTATGAACAATATACTGTAGGATTATGGTTTTTAATGCATTCTGTTATCTGCTTCCTTTTATGGGAAAGTTCATTCTCTTCATATTCACAGTTATGATTACTATCTGTGTCTTTCTCTCCATCCTATTACCCCAACCCCATTTATGCTTTTCTTTCTCCTTTCTCCCTTTTGCTTCCTGCTAGTTTTGCTTTTGACCACTGACTCCCTCAATCTGCCTTTCCTTCTATCAGCTCCTCCCTCTTCTTTGCTCTTTCCCCTCCTACTGCCTATAGGGCAAGTTAGAGTTCTATACCTGAGTATGTTATTCCCTCCTTGAGCCAAATCCAATGACAGTAAAGTTCAAACAAGGCTCATCTCCCTTCCTTCCTTCCCTCTACTGTAATAGGTCTTTGTGCCTCTTCATGTGATGTAATTTACCCTTTTCTGCCTTTTCCTTTCCCCTTCTCTCATTACAATTCCTTTTCACCACTTAATTAGGTGGGGTTTTTTTAATCATCACATCAAAGTCAACTTAAACCCACCTCCTCTGTCTATGTATATCCCTTCTAAATGTCATAATAGAGATACAGTTCTCAAGAGTTGTAAGTATCATCTTCCCATGTAGGGATGTAAACAATTTGGGCCTTTTTTGAATAACTTTTTTTTTCATTTCCTGTTTACCTTTTTATGCCTCTTTTGTGTCTTGCATTTGAAGATCAAATTTTTTGTTGAGCTCTGGTCTTTTCATCAGGAAAATCTGGAAGTCCCCTACTTCATTGAATATCTATCTCCTCCCTTGAAAGATTATGCTCACTTTTGCTGGGTAGTTGATCCTTGGTTGTAATCCAAGCTCCTTTGCCTTACAGAATATCATATTCCAAGCCCTCTAATCTTTTAATGTAGAAGCTACAAGGTCCTGCATAATCCTGCTGTGATTCCATGATATTTGAATTGTTTTTTTCTGGCTGCTTGCAGTATTTTCTCCCTGACCTGACAATTCTGGAATTTGGCTACAATATTCCTTGGTATTTTCAATTTGGGATCCCTTTCAGGAGATGATTGGTGGATTCTTTTGATGACTATTTTACCCTCCAGTTCTAGGACTTTAGGGCATTTTTTCTTGATGATTTCTTGAAAGATGCTTTCCAGGCTCTTTTTTTATCATGATTTTCAGGTAGACCAATATTTCTTAAATATCTCTCTCCTGGATCTATTTTCCAGGTCAGTTGTTTTTCCAATGAGGTATTTTGTGTTTT